AGATGAATTGTGGACCGTTTAACGGTTCCTGTTAACTGCTTTCTTTAGTGCCCTGTGGCAGCTCTTTGTATGTGTGGTTAGGTTCCATAGAGTCATGTTACGCGCCAGTAACACGTCGTTGGAAAAGCTACGTTCGTCCCTAAGTTTTGCACACCAGTGTAGTTCATGCTGATTGATCTGATTAACTACTCTTGCTAGAAATGTTTCACCCATGGAGTTAAATTGGAGTAACCGCAAAATCGTCTCATTCAAATCCATCCAGGGAGCTGTTAGAGAGCGGTCCCCTCTGTTTCATAACTTAAATGGAGCAGCAAACTCGGTCGAAAATGAGAAGGTCACGCTCATTGACGTCAGAGGTTTTATCATTGCCAATCCTGGAGAAACCTACGGAGAAACCTTTTTCAGTCACCTACCTTAGCAATGCATTGTCCGTTGTCACATTGGTACTCGCCACTACCACAGTTTGATATCGATCGCTTTCCGGTTTCTGAAAGAATGGCGAAATTGAAATTGTGTAAATTCAGGAACACGTTCACTGCAAAAAGCCAAAGGGCCAACGATCCAGAGTTTTCCATCGAACTATAAACCCGATATCCCCGTGGAGATCGTTTGCCTCATTGAGGACAAATCCGCGCGTCGACGCTGTCATGTATTCATTTCAAAGGAACGCCTCCAAACTCGTAAGGGGATTTCACTTTCCGCGCGACCGTCGACCCACTTTGCGATCGCGCTAGTGCTGGGAACGTTTCAAATCCCCGTTGTCGATCCGGCATGGGAGCTACCACGCCCGCTTCAGCCGAACGGGTCACCTTTACCTATCCAGCTCTACCAGAAATCAAGTTATGTTATGCTATCTCTATTAGCAGCATTATCTATGGTCTGTATGCGGTTCTCAAAGCCAGTCAGGCTTATGAATGGGGCATGGGCGATTACGGCGTGCAAGCCGAGCTACCTTTATTTGGAACTGTTATAAAGGTTGGTCAGTTTCGAGTCATTCTTTCCTATCAGAATTGTACGGCTATTGAAATTATTGCAGGACCTCAGCAGTTGGGAATGGATAAATTATTCTCCATTCGCATGGCAATATTTGCCGGTGTTCATGGCGCACACCGTGGTCTTCAACCTAGGATCGAAATTCCTTCCTGATCTACCTTTTACTATTGTTTATACTTTATTAAGTATTGCATCATGCGTATACTATTTCACACCAACACTGGTGGCCCTTTCTCTTACCCAAGGCACCGTGATGTTTGCTGCCTGCCGAATTTTTAAGTGAGTTTTCGAAAGTTGATTTATTATTCTTTGGTTACAAACCTCAACCAATAATGGTTATTTTTACTGTCGTGTACACTTTTAGATGCACTGCATCTTGTGCCTGTTATTTTACGCCAATTTTGGCGTCAAATAACAGGCACAAGATGCAAATATGTGGCCCTTTCTCTATCCAGGTCAAGGGTGGGCGCATTTCACGCAAAAACTGACCTAACGCCGCATATCGGGATTTCTAGGCTAACCATAAGCCCTTTTTCAATTCACAATTGTACTTAGCCATGTCCGCATCGGGTAGAAGTATTGCTTCTGCTATGGCAGTGTAGGCAAGGTAAAGATGGTTACACCCCCGCCATGGCACTACACTTCTTTGGATTGCCGCGGTATACTGCCTGGCAATACATGCGCTATGCTCTCGATTCATGGCCTGAACCATGTTCAAATGCAGAAGCCCTTCGTGCACCTCATTGATTTGCCAGAACCAAAGGCCTTGACCAAAGGAAATAACTCAAAAAAAGAACTTGAATAGGTCTTCTCCAACTTGCGACCTATTTTACAATTTTCCCGAACTGTCACACAGGTTATTTTTTGCTCTGCCGTGAGGTCACGAAGTAATAAAGAAGAGTTTGAAATATAAACACGGAAACCCTCTAAAAGCGCACACCAAGAGACCCTATGAATTAAATTCAAGAAAGATCGTAGGTTTTTGAATCCAGTAGTTGACTTGATCGACGATACGTAACGACATAAGAACTTCTAACGCACGGTTTTGATGCTAGAACTTCGATTGGAGTGAAACATTGAACTCAAAAATCTGAAGGGGAGGGAGCCGAAGGGAGCGGTGTTGTGGCAATAAATATAGGAGGGCTGCGTGAACATTCTACTTCTATGTAAAGCGGACCTGAAACCTGAGGCGAGGAAGGCTCTAGTGGATATAAACAATTTCATCGCTCCATACTTCCTGCCGTCTCCTGACTTGTCTTTCGCGATGCCGCCCGCTCATTGCAACGGTAACTCGCCGTAGCGAAAGGAGAGGCTCAAATTTCGTTCCACGGTGCCCTTAAATGAGCCAAAAAAAATCCTTCCACCGTAACTTCATCGGTGCCAAATTCAATGGACAGCGACATTTTTCCTTTCTCACTATCTAGAATCTGAATGATCGGATACGCAAAGTAACTTCCTTCATTTTTTGGTGATGTGTCCCAACCCCATCAGACAGCCAAGAAAAGTTACGCTGTTAGCTCAGCAGTGCATAGTTGAACCTTGTACTTTAATAAAAGTCCAATTCAGGCGAAAAGCGGTCATCTGGATCGCCTCACTGCCGCTACTTTACGTAGTGATGCACCACACGACGAACATTGCCGACAATCCATTTTTAATATATACTCTTGTATCCTACAGTATGCTAAGCTATGTGTCATACTGTATAGATACGATTGATGGCCCTGTGAGGAAAGAAGACGACACCATAGCGAAGCAATATCTCCGAATGTTGTTCTACACATTCTATCAACCGTATCTATTCTCCCTGATTGTACTGTATTCGGATTTCGAACGGCAGATAGCCGAACGACGTCAGAAAACGAGGGACTGGCTGGGCAGCGTGTGGTTCGCTGTCAGGATCGCATTCTGGTGGGGTGTGCTGGAGCTGTCGCTGCATTTCATGTACCACGAAACCATTCTTCGAAATATCGAATATGCTGATACAGTGCCTAAGGACGCATTTTTCGCAATGGGGCTGGCTTTGGGTGAGCTTTTCAAATCTCTTTTGCTTCCTCTTCCCTTTCTTTTCCTTGACAATTTATTCATTTGCTAATTTGACCACATTTTGCCTTTTTTCGGTTTTTTTTACTTCCTTGCAGAACTCGTGAAGATAGAAAAGCCCTGTTTCATCACCATCATGCTCATCGCAAAATCTAGGTCGCGCCACGCATTCGACCCTCTTTCAAAAATGAGGCGCCCTTCATTATTAACCTTAACAGCAAATTGTAACGGCGAGCAGCCATTAAGCTCGACGTCCAAACCATTTCAAGTTGGTCTAACTTCAACTGATCAATCTCCGAGGTGGGAAGAGCTTAATAGGATCGGATCCCATAGGGCCCCATGTGGGAAATAGCGCTTCCAACCTTCGCGACCCTCTTTGGCTATTGATACTTTGTGACTTCATACGATTCTCAGCGCAAATCCAACGCATGGCACATTCCGGACAAATCGCTTACGTCAGGTTTATCACCGTCCCATCGTCGTCCAAGGAGCGTTTTTCTTATTATGGATTCTCGAACTGGTTTTGAGGCCGCCATGCACTTTTCGATCACTTTTTTCCATTTTCATTCTATTGACGCGAAGGAAAGTACTGGACTTTTATCGAAATCCAGTGTTTTCAAAATGCGGCAGGCATTCGACCTCTTCCGAAAACCACAGAATGTGAAGATGTGTTTCGTCCGCCTAATTAGAGAATGGACAGTGGGACCTACGCGAAAGCGTATTATTATGTAATTTTCATTGTTTATGTGTCAGCGCACCGCGTGCATTGATATAAATAATAAATATATAAATAATAGATATATACAGGGGGGGGGGCAAAAAAAAGACATTTTGCCTATGTCGGACTTCGGCCCTTTTTTCTTCGCAGAGATTGCTGTCGTTGACGGGAGTTCCTCAGCAGAGTATTCCCTAAGTGTTCCTCTATTAGTGTACGCAGGCCCTCCTTCACTGCCCTCACCGTCTTCAGAATATGACGTCATCTGTCACCGTCGTCAGGCTCAAGGAGGTCTACTGTAAGTGCTTCAGCCTGAAGCTCTTACGCAATTTCGTGAATCGATTTAATGTTGGATACTTTTCTAGAGGCGTTAGCTCCCACTATACAAATCCCCTCGAAACGAGCTTTCCAGTAAAGGTCGTTATGGTACAGAATCCTTCGAAGACCCCATTGAGCTCGACCAGTGCACCATGTTTCCAGGGGCAAATTCTTCTGTTGCCGTCCACGTGGGTGGCCAACATGAAGATTTTCTTTGTATAGAATGAAAAAATGACTCTTCAATGTCATATTGGGAACACTCGGTCTTCACTTGAAGCAAAGTGCTGCTCAAAAACGCACACCCCCTGGCTCACGGACCCCACGTATTAGCCATATTCCGACTCCGCCCACCGCGCAAACTCCGCCCACAACCCCGAACAGCACATTTTTGTTGTTAGTATCATCTGGAAGTGGAGACAAAATGTCTTTTTTTATTGCCCCCCCCCTGTATATATACCAAAAATCTTCAACAGCGAGTTTCTGTGTAGAATCGCTAACTTGTCTATTGTTTTTTTACCTTTGATTCCATGCCATACGAGCAGGTATTGTGGTACATATCGGCGCTACCTGCCCTATCATTGTCAAGGCGTTGATCAGGGAGCTTAACTATATTTCAGTCCCTAACTGTGCTAGTTGACGCGAGCCTTGTATACTAATGCTTCTGAAAAACCAAATGACATAGGCCTACTATAATAAAACGATCTTTTACTTGTAATCCCGTAAATAACTTGCAGGTTCAAATGGTTCATCAAAAAAAGGAATTCTCGTCAAATTTCAGGAGTTTTCTTCCACTTGAAATATGTGATCATATTCGGTTTGCCGGCTGCTTTTGCCCGATTTGACAATATGGACCCTCAGCCGGGGCCGATTTGCCTTTTTCGAGCGATGCTATTCTCCAAGGTAAGTCTCCGAGCACATCATTTTCTATGAGGTACGTTAATCCATCAACGAATATGGATTGCTCAAGAAAGGACCTCGATTTTTCTGAAGTTGCCCAGCTCTTCGAGGTCTACTCCAGAACTCTTGTATGATGAAAAGAAAGAAGTCCACGAATGAATGACTTGATGAGGAACAGTGATTAAGAGCTCGATTGCAGGTCTGGCGTGAGTTCGACCGTGGTCTCTATCAGTTCTTCAAGTGCTACATCTTCGTGCCAATCTGTGCCCCAACGTTTTCGCTTAAACGGAAAGTGTTTGGAGTGCTCGTCTCGTACGCATTCGTTTTACTCTGGCATGGTTTCTACCATCATAACCTAGTAAGATCTTTGTTTGCTCCTTGACCCTATTCTCTATTGCAGTACCTTCTTAACCTAAATTCACCCCCTCTAATTGACCATCATCGGTGGAGGGGATTTAATCGCTTTCGCCGTCTATCCGCCTTGTAATAGTCTAATTGAGCAGAGTAAATGAGTATGTTAGGGTTGCGTTTAGTAAGTGTGGTCTTTCAAACTTAAAGGCTCACACCACGATCAACTTGACGTTTGAAAACCCACTATACAGTGAAAAATGGGCCACATGTTGAGAAAAAAATGAGCCGTCGGGAACATGAAAATGCAGGCCTCCTGGCTCTACGCTGTGGAGCGTTCTTATAAGCAGACAGCACTAGACAGATAGATAATGGATTCCGAGCCAAAGAATGACAGAAGAAGAGGGAGCACAGTGGAGAGCGATTTGACTGACGAATGATACCGCAACGATGGGCAGACTGACCAGTTCTGGTGCCTGATAACGTTGTGTCTAGGGGACCTTGTGCCACAATAGTGCATAGTAATGTACTTCTGCTCCATTAGCTTACTCGCAACATTTCACGCAAACAGCCATGGGGTGTGCTTTTCAAAGAAGATCGCAGCGGTTGAAAACACTGCCAAGGACCTTCGTGGGATCATGACCATGGAATATTCGCCCTACATACTAGCGCCAAGGACATCCAAGATCCTCGTGACCTCCAGCAGTAGCCACCATGTCGGCCATAGTTGTGAACCCCTTCTTCGAATAAGAATAAATAGACAAAAATGCTATAGCGAAGTTATTACATCTGCTTAGATGCTAACACTGAGTTTAATCTTACACAGCTCCGGAATCCGCATCATAATTCTAGGTACCTTCTTTTTTGCTCGTCCTTCTTTTGCATTACTTACAAGCTCGAATGACCATTTTTGTAACGAGACATACACCACTCGATGTGTTTTTGGACGCTGATCTCGAATCTGCTCTCCAAATCTGCGGAACGATTCCCTGAACGTAGTTATGAAGCGAGATAGTGCAGTGGCAGCGGCCCAGGCCGACGGAAAAGAGGTCGTGGGATCGAATTCTTGGCGATATCTCACATTTGCTTTCCTTGAGACATTGCTAAAGATGCTTTTATCCATATAAATTATTAGCGATTGCCTATATTACAAGTGGGAATAGCTAGCGAGGAGCATCTAACACTGTGCGCGCCATTCGCAAAAGATCGCCCCTTGTACTCGTAGCGCACGCGTCAGGCGCATTCGTGCCAAACAGAGGTGATATTCGTATTCAGCGCGTCAAAATGCCCCTTTCCACAACTTTTGGTCCAAATCTGAAATTTGTACCTAACTTTGCAAATGTGGGCAGTCACCGTTGGTCATTTGCACATGGCACGCACACTTGATCGAAACTCCTCGCTATCTCCTCGCACTAGTAATAAAGGCGAGTGCTGATGACTTAGCATAGATGAGGATTTCCTTAACAATGTCCTCAGGAAAAGCAAAAGTCAAAACTCGCCAAAAATTCGATCCCACGACCTCTTTCCGTCGGCGGCCTGGGCCGCTGCCACTGCACTATCTCGCTTCATAACTACGTTCAGAATCGTTCCGCAGATTTGGAGAGCAGATTCGAGATCAGCGTCCAAAAACACATCTAGTGGTGTATGTCTCGTTACAAATGGCCACTTCGACCTGGGATCCTTCCCTTGTTAGTTGGTAAAACATATAACGAGTGCCTTCATCTGATCCGAAAATCTGTCGTTGTATGACCAACGATTTCATATTCCTCTGTGGCATCTGAATCGCTAAATCTGGAAGGGCAACTTGCTGACAACATTCAACCCGCTTCAGTACGCACCACATATTCCACTTTTTAGTTTACTTACCCTCGTAGCAACTTTTGAATGGTTCCTCTTGCCTATAGCATAACTTGCGTATACCGGCCGACGACAGAACCCAAGTTTTTGCCCTTCAAGACAACACCTGTGGCAATTAGCACATTGGAGACCGCGCATGTTTTACATTGTTTTACATTGAGTTGGACTTCATTAAAATCCTTAAGAACTTATCAAGTAAATTGGGAAGGAAAACTATATATGATGCAGAAGAAACCTTCTAGAATGAAATGGAAGAGAAAACCAAAGAAAAACATAGCGATTGTTCTCCGAGATACGGGCTTAAAGGTCCTATGCGGTCGAAGGATGCAGCCCACATATCGGCTGTGACTTCAAGGTGTTAAAGAATTCCGTAGACGTAAGATTCAGTTGGTATAGGCAAGCAGTCAGTCATGGCTTTGATCGTCGGGACACATGAAAACTTAAAGGCACGATCCAGTCCAATTGGTGCGGTTTTCGCACAGGAAACGAATGCATTGGTTAGTGGGCCGGCAACATAGAAAATGGAAAAGGACCCGTCAAAAATGCTAAAGTTGAAGGCTCGCTCGTTTTTGTGCTAAGGCAATGAGAAATCTGCGATGTAAGAAAACACACCAGATCACGCAGTGCAGATACCATCATGCTGAGAGCAATAAAAATGGAAACCGTAGAAGCGATTTTTGCAGGGCCCTAGCGCCTTGTTGCGTAATTCGGAGCCGGGAGAACGGGATACCGGCGAGTACCGCAAACAGCTTCATGGGGGAAGGGCGGGTAAGGAAAAGCGTTATTTCGCCCGTGGCTCGAATCATCAAACGTTTTGCCGCACAAGGTATTGCTGATGGAGGTTTCATGACTGAATATTTCGAAGATGTCCCCATATAAGCAGAAGCAGGCCCTCCTTCCCTCACCGTCTTCAGAATATGACGTCATCTGCCATCACCGTCGAGCTCAACGAAGGCTACCGTAATCGCTCCATCCTGAAGCTGCTACATAATTTCTTCAATTGGCTAGCTAACAGATAGTTTCGACACAGCAGCTTCGATTAAAGACTCCTCCCGACCCGCTTTTCAGGTAGCGTCGTAATGGTTTACGATCCTCGCTGAGCTCGAACCAGCATCTTGCTCCCGGGGTAAACTCTTATAGTTGTCGGGAAACAAGGCACGTATGAAGTTCTTCCATAGAAGGGAATGTGTTCTTTAAATTTTAGTTGAGAATATCCGGTTTGAATCCATTGAGGGGAAGACTTCTTGGTTGGTCTGCCCCCCCCCTTGTATACAATCCATCGGAAGGATTCAGCCGCTTGAACTTACTCTGAGTTGTGCCTTCCACGTGCTGGGAAAAGCACGTGGTGCGTCCGAGATGATCTTCTCATTTCGCAAGATTTGATACGGCTGACTTTCAAGAGGGGGTTGGAGGGGCAGCTCATTCTATAATAATTGTCGACTGAATCAATGCAAGTATTAGGGGAGGGGGGGGGAAGGACCAGTCATCAAATAAGTTCAGATATACAGTAACGGTCGAAAGTATCCGCCGAGGAAGGTCTTTCATGCTTTTCTTTCTTGCCAGAAAAAAAACCAATGGTGACCTCAAAATTGTTTCTTTTGAATATCCTGATTCTCTAGGATTTGATGATCTGACGACGCTAAAAAACATTAATATACGCACCGATAATCGTTTTGGCGAACTACCGTGTATGAACCCAAGAAAGTAGAAAATAGAGAAATGCAAAAATTCCGTCAATGGAGATCGAGCCACAAGCCCTGCATTCACATGCTTTTAAATTCCCAAAGCCGCTTAGAAACATTTTTTCAGTTCTATGCTCCCCGCGTGGCTCTATGGAATGCAAAAAACCGTTTTGAAAAAGTGTCTTGATCCTGCTTAGTCCGTTGGACCATTACTGTGTTAAATTCCGAGATCGATTAGGGTCAAGTCAGACTTTAGATCTGAGTATAAAAATTAGAAATTCAAAAGTTTTGAAGCCCATCTTACTGGCGGCATCCTTTGACTCATTCGGGCTACTCAACTACTCATTATTGCTGTGAAGGCTCCTCCATAATTTTGCGGTACTCTTACTTACAAAATCGCCTACCTATTCAGGTGTGGATCATTTTGAACATCATAGCGTTGTTCATGGAGATGAGCTCCAAGTCGCTGTACGCGGTGGAATCATTTCGACGTTGGCGAGAGAAGACCATAAGCGATGTGAACTTCCGCCGAGTTCTCGCTGCGCTTCAGGTCTTGCCGTTTGCCTTCGGACTCTACTCGAACATCTATTTTCTGGGAGGGTCAGAAATCGGTGCTTTGTTCAAGAAACGTATTCTCGATGAGGAGACGATTCCTTTGAGGTAAGCCCGTTCGAGAGTCGTTCGTTTGCTTGAGGAGGGTCTTGTGGAGTTAAAATAATCGCCTAGTTCCACCAGCAGGATCCCATGAAGTTCTCACTAGTCGGGCCATCTTGAAATGAGGAAACCGTTATTGCTTAGGAACGACAGATGGACTGTTGATCTGGGTTTAATTCATTCAGACAAATCGCAAAATTGTGATGTAGGGGTTCAGGTTTATGCAACACCTTTCCACCCTCCCCCCTCTCCCCTGTTCCACATTTTTACCAACAGAGAGCGAACAGACTGGCAGGGAACTTATTAAGAACCACTTATAAAGAGCACTTGGACGCAACATTAAAAATTGAGCCATCTTCTTGAGTTGCGCTATGGATCCCACTTCCATACATAGAGTGTGAGTGGCATTTGAACCAATGCTTGGCCTATACTGTTTTTTTATTTTTCCGACGCACTCCGCTTCCAATTTACCGATCCTTGAAGGGAACAAAGCCTTGGTAGGCTTGAGCGTATTCGTGCCGGGATTCCACCCCTGGACCGTAATCCTCGTAAGCCGCTCCACTTGTCACACTTCTAAACAACTATTGATAAAGTGAGGATAAACGAAAGGATTGAAGACAGAATGGTGGGCACTATCGAAAAGCGGAAATACTTCTCCTCTTAGGTTTGCCATAAAGCATAGTAACCGTCCATGCAGAGTAAGGAAGCAAACAAATGAGGATTCGCTTCGAATAGTGACTTACAACGGTAGGCGGTTGGGACCAGGGTCTTGTCCTATCGTTGTTACTTTTCGAAAAAATTTTACGACCCCCCTCCCCCAACGTGGATCTGATACGACCCCTTTTCCACACCTCCACCATCTCCATCTTCCATCAAAACCTCGCCCACTTTTCCTCCAAAACTTTTTTTCCGTTGATTTCGGTTGTGGGGGGGCATTGGTGGGGGTGAGTGGTCCAAAAGTCATACTCTGAAACGTACACGCTATCCCCGAAAATTTCCTTCTATTTCCACCATTTCAACCCATTTTTTACCTATACTCCCACTACTTCCTTTTCTAGGGAGGTATATACGCCCGCTGAAACGGCAAATTTTTATCCTGCGCGCCTCCACACTCGCCCAGCCTACTACCCACGAAATCTTAGTTTCACCTCAATCCCACACGTGATTTCGAGCGACTAAAGTGGGTACGACCCCCCTCCTACAAACTCAACCAGGTACGACCCCCCGTTGTTACTCGTAACAACGTAGGGTTGACCCTGGTTGGGACCGACTTATGGGCTTATGCATCTTCCTCGTATGTCTCAAAATTTGCTATGCGGGCCATTCAGTAATCTAATAGCTGGGTCTTTTTGAACTATTCCACCCGGTCTGCTTTATTAAAAGCAAATGCTTTGTATTAAAAGCAAACGCTGCTCAGCATCCAAAATCTGATTCTCCATCACAGTGAAGGACTTCGAGTTCTCTCCCATCCTTTAACACAATAAAAGCAAAGAGAAGTGTTAGAAATCAGCGCAGGCTCAGGTTTTTCTCTGTGAGTAAGGTTTCTTCGACTTCAAATTGGTCCAGGGTCATTGCAAAAAGAGGGCTAAAGATAGGATGAAGATCTCTCCATAATATACACCTGGCAGATCTGGCTCAAGTTACGGTTGGTGGTATGATGTTGTTTGTAGACTGGCATGTACTGCAGAGATGGAGGGCAGGTTGACACAGCGAGATATGGTCCGTAGACTGTGGAGATATTAACGGGGCCTATTTCCTTGACAAAGCCCCTATTCAAGGCAACTGTCGGTATTTGGCGTGGTTCAGTCAGGGTGCTTATAATACTTCAGCCGTCTGGGACCACAAATGTGCGAGCCTCCCTATGAGAGGAAAACTTCAGGGATCTCTCAGTGGTTGCGCTTTTATACACAATGCTGCATATTCCAAACCGGGATATCGAGAGCATGGGTATATCCCAAAGCTTCAAAGCGCTCCCTATGGAGCTCAACTCATTTCCTAGGCTGGTGTCAGAGTCCGCGATCCGTCGCGCCAATCGCGCGAATCGCGCAAAGGATCAGAAATCACAAGTGCCCGATCAATACTGCGAGGTGCTAACCAACCCCTCCGTCATTGTTTGATGATCATGGTTTGATTGACGACTGTTAATGATTCCTACTTGTTTCATATTGAGTGTTTCAAATGTTCAAACGGGCA